CTAGCATTTGTTGCCCTTAACGCAGAGAAACTAAAGCAGATACCTTAAAAGCAACTGAGGCCAATAGGAAAAGGGGACCAGGAACTAGAGAAAAGGTGAGATGAAAAAGAAGTAACCTAGAAGATAGCACACATGCACAGGAAATCAAATGAGTCAATCCCTGTATAGCTATCCTTATCTCAACCAGCAAAACCCTTGTTCCTTCCTATTATTGCTTATACTCTCTCTACAACAAAATTAGAAATAAGGGCAAAATAGTTTCTGCTGGGTATTGAGGGGTTAGGGGGGAGAGGGAGGGGGCCGAGTGGGTGGTAAGGGAGGGGGTGGGGGCAGGGGGGAGAAATGACCCAAGCCTTGTATGCACATATGAATAATAATAAAAAAAGTGTGTTATCAAAGGAGTAGGAAAAATTACTTCAAAATTGAAGGCAAATCAAGTTGAATGGATTAAATATGTTTTAAATGAAACAAATAACCATGTTAAAGAGTAAACAGAGAAAAAAACCTATGTAACTTCTTAGCAGAGTATTTTGATGCATACCCTCTGCCTAAAACAGGAAAAGAACCACTAACAAATCTTCTGTTTCACAGAGGTTAGTATTAGGAATGCTATGATGGCAGAAATTTTAGAACTTCATTGTGCATATTGTAGAGTGGTGCCAGTGAGTAAATGTCTTGAAATTGGTTGGATCCCAGGTTTTCAGCAGGGGAAGATGGCAAAGATACAAACTAACATCACAAACCACCAGCATGAACTCATGATATAAGTTCTAGTAAAAAAGATATGAAGGGCTCCTGGAGTGGCTCAAGTGGCACAGTGCCTGCCTAGCAAGCGTGAAGCCCTGAGTTCAAACTCCAGTACCACCCAAAAGAAAAACAAAAAGACATGGAATTATTGACTCAATAGCAATGATCAAATCTGAGACCCATATGTCAATTCCTAAATACCAAGTTTACTTTTCTTCTCCTTTTATTTATTTCTTCTCTTTTACAAGAGTGAATCCCTCAACTGACTTTCAATTATTCTATTTCATCTAAAGCACTACTGTCCCTAAACTAAAAATAGTAATGACTGAAACCACAGAGTTAAATAAAGATGTTTGTTACTGATTGCCTTTGAGGATGATCTTCATATAGTATTTTGGCCAAGCAGCATGCTATTCTAAATGCAATTGGGAGGAAAGAGTAGACAAACTAAAATGAAGAAACATTTTTATAGATAATTATACAGTGTTATTAAAAAATGTCAACATCACAAGTGATAGAACAAGACTGAAAAACTATTTCAGATTTCAGAAAATTAAAGGAATGTGGCAAACAAATACAATACCTTTTGGTTTATGGTAGCAGCTAGATATGAGTGATGATGAATATATGTGAGGAATAGAGACAAAGTGTATAATCTCTGGTTCAAATATTTATATTCTTAGGTACATTTTCATATACTTCTCATTTAATGGTTTTTCTGCACCAAAATTAATAATGAACACATGAACACAGCCAGATACATTGTGGTTTCTTTTTTCTTGGGAAACTTTTATGAATTCTCCTAAGAATTAGGCCTGAGTCACCCTGATCTTTACTAAACATCCTTCAATATTTTATACATCCTGTGCACAGTATAATTAATATTTAAGTAAGAATTTTAGAAATGGCAGTTCAGACTGAATTAAGGGGATATTATGACCAGGAGTTGCACTTTTATTATTGACATGTTATTATAATCTCATTGTATATTTAAATTTACTTCCCCTCTAAGTTATATTTAGGTGGTCATGGGTAATCACATGTACAGAGTGATTCTTGATAAATGTCAAAATTTTTTTCACAACTTTTATGTCAAACACTTCTTGTAAGCTGGATCTGGGGAAGGATTTGACACTCTAAACTCCTTGAACTTCAGTAAAAACCTGTACCAGGGTGAATGTGAGATGACCGGCTTTCATCTGTGATGTAGTCTTTCAAGTCTAATGCAGTATATGTTTTTCTTAGTGTGTTGTCTGAGTCTTTCTCTCACTAGATGCAAGAATAGAGATAGCTGAACTGGTAATCTAGACTGGATTCTGTTCTGGACAGGAGGAGTGTTATACATAAAGGACACTGAGTTATAAAAATGAACAAAGAAAAGAATATGGACAGGCCTTCACAACATTTCTATAGCAAAAATTTCTATTTATGATAATTGAAATCTGACAAATATTTAACAATGGGGAAATAGAATAGAGGATCTTTAGGAGTATTATTTACATTATTCTCATCATTTTTTTTAAGTTTGAAACTATTTGTAATTAAGAAATTGAAAGAAATTGAAATAACAAGTGAACCACCTAGACCAATCATGAATTGCAAAGTATATTTTCAGTCATGTTTAATACTGTCAGTATGTTTAAAATTTAGTAAAATAAGAATTATTTTAATTCCAATTTTAGACTTTATTGTCCTTGATTTGAGCTACCCAGTTCCTCTTATTTTGAAATTTGCCTCTCTTGGAAAAATTTCATTTGGCTCATATTCATGAAAAATAATAATATGTTTATGAACATAAATAGTCATGGTAACACAGCAGTGGAAATGAGCATTAAAAATAACATTTACTTTTCTATACTTCCAGCTTAGGGCTGGTGGAGTGGCTCAAGTGGTTAAGAGGGCCTGCTTAGCAAGCATGGGGTCCTGAGTTCAAACCCCAGTGCCGCAAAAAAAAAAAAAAAAAAAAAAAAAAAAAATGTTAGTTGACTTTAGTGGCCATAGCAAGGTTTATCAAATCATCACATGCATCTGCATCACTAAGGTGATTGACAATGTGCATATTTTGATTTTCACCAGGGTTCTCAGTGTATCAAAGTCAATAGGGAAAATAGTCATTAGCAATGTTTGATAGTTTTCCTTATAAACAAAGTACTGAAATGATTCTTATATACCACTGTCACTTTCACTTGCAACTATAATATAGTCTTTATGGTAAGTAGACTTCAGGAAATGTATAAGCAATTTAGTATAATTCTGATAAAAGTATGAGCAATGTTCTTTGTGATTTGTTCCTCAATGTTTTCTGGAGCCTGAGTAATCTCTCCAGGAAAGCAGCAACAATTATATACTACTTGTCTTAGAGATAACCACTTAAAAGTCTCTTCAGAAAGTCTTTTTTTTTTCCTTTGGGGAATCCACAGGAGGTAACCAACTGCCTTCAAAAAGAAGTGAGGAAGTCTTTTGACTATATGTTATAAATATCAACTTGAAATTTAAGAAAAAGCAAATGACTTTCCTGGTTGCTTTAACTTGCATCCTTAAGAAACTATCAGAGTTTAGCACAAATCTTTTTGTCTTATCATAAGCCTAGAGATGCATGCACAGGTCATGATGACAAAGGTTTCTAAAAGGGAGCAACATGTTGTGTTTTACTTTCAGGTTATCAGCACCTAAACTGAACTCTCCTTTGCATGAAAAAACCTCTCTCTTCAAGGGGACCTGTTGGAATCATCTCCTTAAATATGTCTTAAAAGTAAGTCTTTGTCAAGGGCTTTGAAGAATCTAAATTACTTTAAGGTATGAATCTCAAACTTTTATTGATAAAATGTGAAAATTCTCTCTGTTCCAAAATAGAGATTTTAAAACCTTGCAGATGTTAAGGAAATGTAAGACATACACCAAAAACAATGGATGTTAACAGTGATATTTTTCTTTCTTTTTCTTCCTGTTTGCCATTCTTTGTGTATTTCTTCTAACTGATGAGAAAAATAGGTTGAGGGATATCTTCAGAATTTTCTGTATTGGAGGGCTAGTTGTGTGGCTCAAGTGGTAGAGTGCCTGCCTAACATGTCTAGCCAGTGTAAGGCCCTGAGTTTGAGCCCCAGTGCTGCCAAAAGAACAAGAAGAATTTTCTGAATTATACAACATATTCTTCAATTTTTACTACAGAGTTCCTCCCTCTCCTCCCAATTCAAATGTTCTCCCTTTTATTTTTGATCTGTGCTTCCTCAAGAATCCTTTCCACAGGTCTTTGTCTTCAAACTCTTCCTCTGCTTTTGTGTGTGAGGCTCCAGATAAGCCACAAAGAAACCTTTTCTATTCTTAGCCTCCAGGTAATGCCTGGTTAACATCCAAGCTAGCATTTTTTTTTGCCCAACACCCAAGACCATTTGAGCTTCTTTTTCTGCCTCCTCCAATTGAGAATCATTTCCCAGAAAAAAAGTCTGTATTTTTTGATCCTATGTTCCTATTGATACAGGACTAAACTGTTGTTCCCAAGTTCATGTCGTGGTACAGTAGATGACTGAAGTCACCAGACAAGTTAAGAGTTAAAGCAAGTTTATGCCACAGACCAGGAACAGAGCAAGAACAAAGTTTATTGAAAAGATAAGAAAGCACCTTGGTGGGTGGGACTTAATTAGGTTAATTAGCATACCTATCAATTTTAGCCATGTTTCATTTCTTTGTTTTCCAAATATTAGAAATAATTTTCTCTAACTAATAAAAGTATCCTTAATACCAAGAAAATACTAAAAATTCTTTATAGCTTAAGAGGAAACAATACAATTTCTATACCCTGAAAAGTTCTTCCCAAACATTCTAGATCTGTCAAATTATAACAAATAAATTAGACTAATTGACTTCTCACATTAGCAAGGTCAATTCCCCTATATTTAAAAAGTAGGTATTGGGGGTATAAGACAGTGGTAGAGCACCTGCTTAGCAGGTACAAGATACTAGGTTCAAACTTTAGCAGTAAAGACAGAGAGAGAGAGAGAGAGAGAGAGAGAGAGAGAGAGAGAGACAGAGAGAGAGACAGAGATAGAGACAGAGAGTAGAAGAAAGGAAGAGGAAATGAAGGCGGAAGGTATGTAGGGTTTTTAAGTAGATGCAGAGATCTTCAAGGTAATTACATACTTCTTTTCTACTGAATGATTCTTTATATCAATATGAATATTTATAAACAGTAGATAAACTGCTTTTATATTGCCCCTCCTTGACAGGCAAGAAAGAGGATCTACTGAAGATCTAGCATGGCCAATATTACCTTGGTGACAAAATTCCTCCTTATGGGGTTTTCTGGTGTCTAAGAGCTTCAGATTTTCTATGGTCTGCTCTTTCTGATGATGTACTTGGCAATCCTTATGAGTAACCTTCTCATTGTCACTCTCATCACCCTGGACTGGCAGCTGCAAACACCCATGTATTTCTTCCTTAAGAACTTGTCCTTGTTAGATGTCCTTGTATCTGTCCCAATACCAAATTTCATTGTCAACAGCCTGACACACAACAATTACATTTCTATTCTAGGATGTGCCTTCCAGGTACTTTTAATGACTTCTTTCTCAACAGGAGAAACGTTTGTCCTCACTGCCATATCCTATGACCGCTATGTGGCCATCTGCTCTCCTCTGCACTATGAGGCCATCATGAATGGTAGTGCCTGTGCTCTGATGGCAGGAGTTTCCTGGACCACTGGAGGACTCTTTGGAGCTGTGTACACAGCTAGCACATTCTCCATGCCTTTCTGTGGCTCCAGTGTTATCCCACAGTTTTTCTGTGATGTTCCCTCATTACTAAGGATGTCTTGCTCTGAAACACCCATGGTTGTTTATACAAGTGTTGGAATTGGGATGTGCCTAGGTGTGTCTTGCTTTATCTGTATAGTGATCTTTTATGTTTACATTTTCTCCACTGTGCTAAAGATTCCCACCACTAAAGGTCAGTCAAAAGCTTTCTCCACATGCATCCCCCATCTCATTGTTTTTACTGTTTTTATCATAACAGCTTGTTTTGTTTATCTCAATCCACCTTCAAATACAACCTCATTTATTGACAGGCTGCTCTCTGTGGTCTATACTGTGTTGTCCCCCGCACTTAATCCTGTGATCTACAGCTTGAGGAACATGGACATGAAATGGGCTCTGATGAGGTTGCTACAAAAACTCCAGGTCAAGAGGCTGACTTCTTTTACAATTCCAAGTGTTTTTCAGTGATGGAGCACTTCACAGGTGACAGCAAGCTTTCTTTTGAAGTTTTGATATAATTGAGGAAAGAAAGGGATATTTGATTTTTTCTCAGGAACACAAGAAATTGCCTCTCATTGACCAATTTGTATCTGCTGATAAAAATGTGTAAAGACAAAAAAAGACCCAAGTAACAATTTCTATGTTTGGATAATTAAGTGTAATTAACTTTAGGTTAACACATGGAGTCATGGTATTCATTTTGTGCTGTTCTATGACAGAGAATCTCTCATTTGGGGATATAACTTTCAGAAAGAATTGGTTTTGTGTCATGGCAAGTTTTCATCTTGATTATTTCAGAAATAATTTTCTCTATTTCATTCATGAAAAACAAACACAAAAATATTGTGACGGTTCAGTGTGTACCATGCTATGGAAAGCATTGCAGTACCATGGTGAAATTCACATGTCATGTCCCTGAGACTGTCCACTGCTGAGGCCTAACAACAACAGGCAAACCAGCTTTGGAGTCCCAGGACTTTTCTAGAGGTGTGTGCCTGTCATAAATAGATTTTCAGTGATGATCCTTAAATCAAAGACACACTCTTCAGGAAGACACGTATGAGTAAAATTTTCATTGCAATTAGTGCCACACAGATAGGGATGGTTCCCAGAACGACCCTGGGCCCTTGAAGCTGCAAGAACTAATTGCACTGTGGTCCAAATATCTATAACTCAGGAACTCTCTATATGGGAAAGTTATTGCTTTTAATCAGAGAGTGAAAGGAAGCTATAATATCTGTCAAAATTACAGCAGAATTCACTCAGCCATACAGGTTTCCCATGGTACATTCACTAGTATCTCTAATGTGAAAGGTTTCCTTTTACCAGCTGTATAATCTACCTGAAGATTATATGCCTTATCATAATAAATTTAAATTCTGAGGTTTACATTTGTCTGTATAAGAAAAATCCAAAGTTTCTATGAATTTTCAATGACTTTACCTTTGAGTCAAGTTACCAATGTTTCATTGTCACTTGGTTTAATTAAATGTCCTGGTATTATTACTCAGTCACAGGCAAACTTATTTAAGGATGTCCTCAAATATCCTCTGGAAACTATTTTTATTTTTAACATATTTATAACATCCTAAAATATAATTAAAATAAAACTTTTGATATCTCTTTTTAAAAATTAGGATATATTCATTGTACAGGGAATATGACTATTCCAAATAGGCTTATAGTATACATTGGTTAGATAACCTTCACAGTTTTTTCCCCTTGACCCCACCCCTACCCCCTTTAAAACAATTGTAAGAAGTTTCTTTGTTGTATTTCATATAAGTATTTGAATCCCATCAACCATATATCCTCACCTTAATCTCCTTCATTCACCCTCACATTACCCCCCTAAACTTACTGTATCTACTTTACAGTCCTGTCTTTTTTTATTAATATTTAAGTCAATGTTCAATTGGGTTTCTCAATATATTCCCATGGTGAGTATACTTTGGTCCATTCATCTCTTTCCATTACTTTCCCTTACCTCTTCCCTCAACACCACCTCCTTTTCAACAGCTTTCATTACATATGCTTATATACTCTACCTTCACAAATGTTATGTTTTATGACATTATTGATGTTTTATCATTCTCTTTTCCTTTCCCTCCTTCCCGATTTTCATAGAGTAGTTTCACTATTACAAACATATTCTAAATGACTTTGCCTATGATCATGTTTGTTTCTGTATTTTTGTTTATCTTTTGCATCTATCTTCTATGTCTGAGAGAAAACATGCAGCATTTGTCTTTCTGATTCTGTCTTACTTCACTTAATAGGATGTCTACCATTTGTATCCATTGACCTTCAAACCATATGATGTCGTTGTTCTTTATGGCTGAGTAAAATTCCATTGTGTACATATACCACATTTTTGATCCATTCATCATTTGTAGGCTATCTGGTTTGTTACCATAAGTTGGCTATTGTGAATACTGCTGTGATGAGCAAATTTTGATATTTCTTACACTTAAAACTTTCTTTACATTTTCCCTGAGAGTCTGTGGAAAATCATATTATTCTTTGTTCTTTTCCTTTAATGAAGAAGATATATTAAACAAATGTCTTATAAGGCATTTGTAAGAAATGAGTGAGAAAACTGTCACAAGAGAAAGGACAAATAAGCTACCCTAAGTTAAATTTATAATGATAAGTACTTTATTGATTTAACTATTTATTAAATTATATATGTAAAGTCCCTAGGGATTTATCACTGCTCTACTTATACTTTGTATGATATATTGATCAAAACAGTACTTTTCCCCATAGGCAATCCACAGCTAATAAATACAAAACAACTATAGAATTAGAAACTATTTAACTTTAAACCATCTGTTAATGTAACTGATTCAAGCAAGGATCAGTCACAGTGGATAAAACCATTAGAAGATATTTCCCCCATAGTTAATATTTTCACTTATAAGATCAATCAAGCCATTCTTCATTCCTAGCTACAGTTAAAGAATGAGATCATTTTTTTCCTCTAGTTAAGCTGACCAAATGCTTTATAAAGAAACTTGATTTCCAGAACCATGGAAGGCTGAATGATCCACTAAATGTCTACTGGTGACAAGAATTCTGACCACAGTGATTTTATCAAAACTTGTGAACAATCCATTACCATCTGAACTCCCTTTGCTTCAATCTTTTCCCCTCTATCACTCATTTCATGCTAGATGGGTTAAGGAAATTTAAACACATCCTCACCTTTTTTGTAGTAAGCTTTTACATTAAACTTTCCTACTCCAACCAGAGTTTTAGTTATAATAGTACCTGGTTCACCTGGGACAAACAAATCGGATTTGGGGATTTGGTAACCTGTAAGGGAATAAGAAAGTGTTCAGAAGGCAAATAAACATGGAAAGATGTTCAAATTCAGGAATGATTAAAAAGGCACACATTAAAATCCAGATTTGATGAGCCTTTCCCATTATCAGATAAACAAAGCATTTAAATGCAAACATTACCAAATTTTGCCAAATTTGTGGAAAAATGAGAATGACAGAGAATCTAAATCCACTAAGGTACTTTCCGGAACAAGTGGTAGTTTTTAGTAAAGTTCACAATATGTGCATCTTATAATAATGCTTGTTGGACTATTCCCTTGAGAATTGTGTCTTCAGGGGTCAGGGGCCAAGCCTGACTGTAGTAAAAAAAAATTGTGATAATGCAAAACTAGATGAAGGGGTGGGAATGTGCTTCAGTGGTAGTCAGAGATAGAAGGGGTGTTTACTAGGTTTACAAGAGGCCTGTGTTCAATCTCAGCACAGAAAACTGAATGCCCATTCAAAAGATAAACTAGTAAATTGTGGCTATGGCATGTGATGCTTTACGCTTTAAAGTCAATCTTCAAATAAAAAAATGTTTCAAAAATCACATAGATTCACTCCTTCTTGGAACAATCAATACCAAATAAATTACCAAATAAATAAAAAATGCCTATTTTCCATTCATGATGCAGATCATTTCATGAATATGGACATAAAAATGAAACTGTGCTAAACTAACGTGAGCAATTGTGCTGGAAATTAGACACAGTATTGGTCAATGGAAAGGGGCCTGTTCATGTAACCAAATTGCAACCATTACGATCCAATGAAATTACTTCACAGGAAGAGTGATTTAATTTTTATTACACCAATGGAGTTTTATAATATAAAATTTAATAGTTTTATTGTCAAATATTCTTCTCTTTTCAGTAATAAAACACCTCAAATAGATGATAATAAAAAATTTAAGAAAAATTCTGTGATATACATACATTTTTAATATTTTAGCCATTGTTTGAAAATAATACATAATTAATTCTTCTATTAAATGCAAATTTCCTTTGTTTGATCATTTGGGAATTGCTGGGAATTGAATCTGAGTCTCACATATGCTAAGCAAATGATCTTCCAATGGTTTATATCCCAAGCTTATTCCTTTGATTTTAAAACTTTATAAGGTTTCTTATTTCTTATGACTCCTTAATCTCTGTTCTTTCAAGACTAAAAAATATCTATCTCATTTTATAAATTGCAATACATGATTATTTGTGAAAAAACTAAGGAAATTTTATCCTCTCCTTTCTCTGATGACTTTATGATTTAGTTGCTTAAAGTGATTGAAAGATTTTGAAGCTATCCATTTTAGAAAGAATTAGCAAAAGGTCATTTATCTTTGAACTATTCCTAAGTACTCAATAAAACTAACCTTTCTCCAGAGGATTGCCCCCCCACCCCATACTGGCAACTACTTAATAGCGAATTGTTGTCAGTGTGACAATCTTTATGATGAAATGAAGAAAATGTAAGACACCAAAAGGATGTTGAATGTAATTAGAACAGGAGAATATCAGATGGAAAATTAACAAAGAAGACAGAAAAATGAGAAGTTTCAGAGAGTATGAATGATGGAGTTAATCAAAATGTGATGAATGCAAACAGAAGTAAAGTATTGTGTGAGAAAAAGAGAGGTATTGAAATGGGAAAAGAGAGAAAGATTAAATCATATAATAAAAGTGAAGTCAGAAGGCAATATGTGGAGATTATGAAGTGTATGGCAAAAAGACTTCCAACTGAGTCAGTGAAAAGAGTTATTTTGTATTTAACATATTCTATCCAAACTTAGACAAATTTTGTAAGGACAGATTTGTGTTATGTAACAGATTCACCAATCAGTTTGTTCAACACCTAGAAAACCCTATAAATCAGACACAATCTAAAGGTAGTTACTTTAGATAAAATATTGCCTATTTCTATGCACAAAATATTACATATTCAAGTTTCAAACATTTCACCCATAAGAAATGTAAACTGTTAACCTCTAATGAATTTTAAAAATCAAATGGAAATTTATTTCAAAAAGAAATCAATTTCTTTCTCTCATTTGTTAATTTTTTTTCTGATACAGGATATTACTCTCTTGTCCAGGCTAGCCTAAGCTTAAAATCCTGCTTCCTCCATCACCCAAGTACCAGGATTATAGACATTTGCCACAATGTTCTCTGCTTTTATCTCTTAAGCTTTATTTTTCAGTGCTGAGGATTTAACTCATGTCAGTGAGCATGCTTAGCAATAACTATACCACTTGAGCCATGCTCTGGAGCCACCCACTTTTTAAAACTCTCTTCAGTCATATACACAGAATATCACTTAGGCTAGGTTATTTTAAAATTAGTAGTAAAACCACCCAACAATAGAGCAATATACACATATATATTTATGTGTATATATATATATTTATGTATATATATGTGTGTTTTGAATATGGAAAATGATCACCACATGTTTAAAACAAAGTTAATTCATAATACTGGAAAAATGCTGTGACTTAATTGAAGCTAAAAATGTGAAAATGTCATTCATTATATGTTGACAGAGTTTCTCTTTACTACTTTGTTCATGGTCATTAAAATTTTGCTATAAATTTGGGAAATGCAAGGTGTTGAATATAATTGTGAGATTCACATACTCAAAAAACTTCAGCTTTTGTCATTTCATGCAGCATATCTTCAAAAGCGCTATGGCCAGTGATTTCTTTTTGCATATAAATTAAAATACAATTTTTCTCAACCCACAATCACAGACAAGAGGTATCTATAAGAAAACCCCTGAAAAGAACCTGTTTAAAGTGCTGTGACTCTGTTATCAATCTTCCAGGGTGAAATGTCACTTCTACACTTTGGACAACTTCTGCAGCTGTGTTGTATTTCAGTTTTCTTATCTATCAAGCTAGTATCATAGCACTAAAACCAAGCTAGCACGACCTACAAAGATCATGTCTGGAATGACCTGCAAAGATCATGTCTGGTACTGGCCAGCAACTGACAAATAAGCACTCACTATGTCCCGACTACTGTAAGAGATAAAAGAACATCTTTTTTCCATTCATTGTATAACTAAGGGTGGATACCACTATAACAAGAACAGATTAGCAAGAGAAAAACATAACAAATAAACATTCTATCTAAGCTTTCTGACATGGGGACCTTCAAATATTAATATCCAAAGACCCAGAGCATACTGTGTATTTTCATGGACAGGCAAGTGGAAGTATGAATGGAGGACAAAGCATTACATTTACAATAAACTGATGGCAACTTAGCAAAGCTTGTCTGTTGAGATTCTATTTGGTTCCTTTACATGACATTTCTTCTCTCTGGATACGGTGCAGGACACCTATCTCATGAGGGTCTTTAGGGAGAAGAAAAGAAGGTCAGGGAGTGACCTTCCTGCTTTTGCACATTTTCCAGTAGCTACAGCTGGAAACACCCAACATATCAACGTCCCATATTTTGGTGTGTCATGTTCTGAACCTAGAAATGACTGCTATTCCACATTATACATGGTGCACTTTGGCTACTGTCTACAAAAGAGCACTCATTTTAGATTACTGTCTCAAACCCAATTGGAAAGAGAGAAGACAAATTAACAAGAAAAAAGAAAACACATAAATATTAAGAGGAGTATTTCACAAATACTCAGAGGTGAGTAACTCAAAAGGGATTGAAGTTCTGGAGACTCTTAACAAAGCACAATACATTTATATGAAAGTAATAGGCCAAAGAAAAGAGAATTGGTTTTCTCAGGGTTGTGAATATTGGGAAGGTTAACACATGAAACTTCAAAAGACAAGGAATCTGTCAGCAAGGTTTTTGTCTAGATTCCTCTTCTGTGCTCTGGCTATTGAAAGTTTAGAATTGTCTTTAGCTTTCTTTAGTGATTAGGAGTCACTTAGTGCTTCTGGTAGAGAGGGAGCTGCTTATATATGTGACAGAAGACAGACAGATAGATAGATAGATAGATAGATAGATGATACGTAGATAGAGATTTAGATAGATAGAGATAGAGACAGAGATAGATATAGACAGTTTTTATTTCCAGTTGCCTTTAACTCAAAAGCCATCCTATACCAAAGCAGAATATCTTGGTGTGGCATACTCTGAACTTCTTCATCACCCAACCAAGTAAAAGTGAAATTCATGTTGTCTGCCTGGTCTTCTGAATATTTTCTTTGCATTGACACACAAAGCTTATATATTTTCATATAGGGAATAATGTGATATTTTTAAATGAAGAAGGACACTAGACCTTCATCATAATGTCATCCCCAGTCATAACAAATTCTTGAAAATTGTGTAAAATGCAGAACCACGGTGACACCCCAGGGGTGATTAATTGGAATCTGCATTTGACAACACACCCATAGGTGACTTGTGTGCCTATTGGAGTGTAAGAAGTGACGTTCCAGATGACCATGGAGGCCCCTACTGCATGACTTTGACACACCCACAATGTGGACCAATTTATCTTGCAGACCCATTTTGTATTCTGAGTTTACTTATTAATACTGGATAAGTAAATGAATTAAATTTGAGATTTATGGAGGAAGTTTGGTGTTGGTGAGTGCAGAGGCGAGATACATAAGGATGAACCATTCCTATTCATTATGGAATGCCAATAGTGAAGGCACTAAAATCCACATTGTAATTGTGAAAAAATGTGCCTTTTAGAGGTGGCATCTACTCACCTGAAGGTCTGATAGTAATAGCATCCCAAATGATCTAATTTGTGGAAACAATCCTCAAAAACACAATTCAGAAATGAACTATAAGAACTTTCTTAAGAAATAGTTGAAGATTGATCTTCTAGCCTGAGCCTGTTCTCAGAGTACCCACTTCCAAAAAAGAGTAAGATATCCTAAATGTAGGAAGCTCTGTGTTAACTGCATTGCTAAATAACATTTTTCCCCATGGGAAGAATATTCACGTAAATAAACTTCAGTATGAAATGGTACAGAGCAGAGAAACAAAATCATTTTGAAACCAGTTGCACATTTTTTTATTCTTATAGCTTACTGATAAACATTTCTTTTTGCAGACAGACCTTATGAATCAGAAAATCAGTTTTAAAGCTATAACTATTTAAATTTGATTATAGTTAGATCTTAGGTTTGGGAAGACAATTTCTGAATACAGACACAATTATGTGCTTTTCTTTAAGGCCAAGTGAAGAGGCAACTGAGTTAAGGTAAAATGTGCAGCCATTTGTAGACTAAGTAAAAGATGATAAAGGCAGAAAGGGTAATTTCAATGCTGGATCTAAAGTGAATCATCAGTGCAATAATTGCAAAGTCAATAAAATTCTTTGTGCTTTAGTTTTTTTGAATTATTGTAAAATGTATTTTATTAATACATTTCTCACTACTATTAAAATAACTGATATTATCTATGGCCTCCAAGTACAAAAAAGTCACTGAATAAGGGTCAGGCTTCATGGATCTGTCTTCATCATTGTAGGTCTGAGCAATTTTGTCTAAAGTCACAGTGGACCCTCTGTATCCTGTTATGAAAGAGACCCAATGGACACAAACCGTAAGACTCTATCCCAGGAATTCCTCTTGATGGGTTTTCCTGGGTTCAAGGCTCTTCAACTCTCTCTCTTTGTGTTCTTTCTGGTGATGTACATGCTTACAGTTGGTGGTAATGTGGCAATTTTGCTGTTGGCTAATGCCTCTCACCAGTTGCACACACCCATGTACTTCTTCTGAGCAAACTATCACTCCTGGAGATTTGTTACAACACAGCTGCCAACCCTAAAGCCCTGGACATCATGGTAGGGAGACGCCAGACCATATCCTTTGCAAGCTGTCTGTTGCAGATGTATTTGGTTTTCTCATTAGGTTTCACAGATTACTTTCTCTTGTCAGATATGGCTTATGACTGCTATCTTGCCATGTTCTATCCGCTATACTATCAGGCCATAATGAGCAGCCTGCTTCAGTGCAGCTGGCCCAGGGCTCTTGGATCTGTGCTTTCATAGCCATTGCAGTGCCAACAGCACTCATCAGCAGCCTGTCCTTCTGTGGTTCCCATGCCATGAACCACTTCTTCTGTGACATTCCACCTTGGATAGCTCTGGCCTGTAGCAGCACAAAGTCAGTAGAAATTGTGGCATTTGTGATTTCATTTGTGGTCATCCTGAGTTCCTGTATTATAACTTTAGTTTTCTACATCTACATTATCATCACCAACCTCAAGAGCCCCTCTGCCAGTGGCCTCAGCAAAGCCTTCTCAACCAGCTCCTCCCATCTCACTGTGGTGCTCATCTGGTATGGGTCCACAATTTTCCTTCATGTCCACACCTCCATCAAAGACTCTTTGGATCTGACCAAAGCTGTTCATGTCTTCAACACAGTAGTGGCTCCAGTTCTAAATCCCTTCATCTATACACTGCATAACAAGGAAGTTAGAGAAATTTTGCTGAAAAAATGGAAGAAGAAATCAATTTCCTCCAGCATTATGGATGTCTTGTTAATGGTCTCCATTATGTGTTCAGAGGTTCCAAAAAGTACAAATATGGAGAATCGAGTAAAAATGTGAATCTTTTATTCAGGGAGAAAGAAAAAAAAACACACCTGTAACCAAAACAAGCAGGGAAAAATTATAAAAATTTGGCTATTCTGGCTCTATTGAGTAAGAGTTTTTAATATGAGCTCTTAAACAATGATGTGTCAGCCTTAGAAAGAAAAAATCTTAGAATCAGATCATTACCAAGTAAGCATGATTAGAACATCCAGCAGATTCAAGGGAAAAATAACCATAGGAAACAATAATCATAACTGTTTGATTCCCACAAAAGACTTGCATTCCAGGGGTCAAGATTTAGTACTTTCCTTTTCAATTATCAAGGCATGCAGGTTCATTTCCCTCCTAATATCATTTTTTCTATGACTGTAGGTTAGAAGCAGCAAAAAGATGTCTGGAAAGTTGAATCAGACTGCTAATACTTTCTTTTTGTCTTGCTCGCATTGGTTCACACTAGCATTAAAGAGGCTGTTTCTCACAGCAGAAATGGTTAAGATGCTAAATAACAGTTATCTCCTAGATCATGTTTATTTGTTCTGTGTTGAACCTGCCCTGGTTTCAAATATGAATTGAAAGATAGGACAAGCAGGCTGTATATTGGAGTTCACCAGGAAAAGCACATTTCATTGAGAAAATGATACATTAATTTCCTTCTCTCAATGAAATCTACTTCTTAAGGAGCTATAGGAGCAAAAAGAGGATCACAGTTACTGCTATAAAAAAGAGAGGTTAGAAAGAGAAAAGTTTAACAGATTCATTTTAAGTTTTGCATTACATTGAAGCTTTCAGAAATGAAGATTTGAAGATTCAGGAAAAGCTATATACTTATGCTCAAGTTCAATGACAAATGGACAGCCATACAAAAAGTAATTAGACAAAAGGGGTGCTATATAATGGCAATAAATTAAGGAGGAATGCAGCAAATCCCATTCAACAGATTCTTTTCAGAATTTGTAGCATTAGGAATGCATGGACTGGAAACATGTTGACTGTGAATAAATGAGAGACACAGGTCAAGAGTACAGTATTTCATTATGGTACTATTGGGATTAGATCCATGATAATCCCCTCAAAATGCTTCTTTGACATGCTGAGTACTTTGGACTGAATGAGACTGGAAGAGATTTAGAAGCAAGTTTTGTGTGGCTTTCTCCTACTCTCCTTTCTCCATTTCCTGCACAAATAGAGAAATGGAATTTTCTTACTAAAGGCACATCACAGAAATACAATTCCTCTTCCACAAACCAAGTACTGAAAAGTAGGGACATCACCTTCTGTTCCCCCTTCTTCATGCAGACAGTTTCATGGCAGATGTCCTTCCCTATATTTTCCCTATAGAATTGTTGTTTCATGGCACTTCCAGCCTACTAAAGTAGGACCTGTGTGCTTATATTTATATGCTTATATGTACATAAAATTATACATACATATGAGAACATATTCAAATACATATATATATGTTTTAGAAATAATACTTTTTAATCTCTACAGTCTATCTTCCACAGTTCTTTTATCTTTGATTCCATTTTGTATGTTTCTTCTTTAGTGAGAACTCTGCCTTTCAACAATATCAAGGCATTTATGTGTTTTCTAGGTATTTATATTTATAAGACATGTAAAATAGCATCAGAATCACTTCACCTAAAATATTAAAGAGATACAGTTACTGTGTTAGTCAACTATTCATCTCTCTGTTCAAATTCCTGAGAAATTCAGGTTACAATTATTTTGACTCACAGTTTCAGAGGTTTCACTCCACCATGGTAGGAAGGCATAGAGGAACAAAGTTCTTTACAGTATGACAATCAGAAAGCAGAGATCAGACAAGAGGCCAAGGCACAATATCCCCAAGGACCTACCCCAAGTGACCTATTTCCTTCAGCAAGGTTCCATTTTCTATGGTTTCCAGCATCTAGCTAAACAGTGCCACCAGTTGGAGACCAAGCCTTCAATACCTTAGCCTTTTGGGGGGACACTTCGTATATACATTCTACTACTGTGTGACCACACACAGGAATAGAGTCACTGTAAAAATAGTTTATAAAGATCACTAAACAACAAGATAACTGCATCCTGCAGCAGGCAACAACAGCAAAACTGGGAAAAGGCATAATCTAATTTCCTCAACTACCACATAATACTCAGAATGGTCATTTCTCAATGAAATTTCCAGACATGGAAGGAAACAGGGAAGTATGCCCTGTTAAAGAAAGAAAAGAAAAAGATACTCAGAGAAATCCCCAGGCAGCTCAAAACTGTCTTCCTACACAAAGACTTTAAGCCAACTGTCTCACATATGTTAAAGATCTAAAGTAAACAAAGGACAAAACTTGGTACAATCAAAAGAATAATTTGTCAATAAATGGAGAATATCAAGAAATATAGAAATTATAAAATGAAATAAAATGAAAATTTGAGAAATGAAATGGACAGCAGCTGACATAAAAATATTGTCAGAGGGAATCAATAGTATAATTAAGCAGACAGATAAAATTAGTAATAAACTTAAAGATAAGACATCTAAAATTATCTACCCTAAGGATCAAAAAGAAGAAAAATAAAGGGGAATTAAGAGAATTTTTGGACACCATGATGTGTACAATCTCATATGTTACTGAAGTTCCAACAGGAGAGGGGATAGAAAAAGAAACAAAAAGAATATCTGAGGAAAGAATGACTAAATGTTCCAATTTGATAGTACATGAATTTACACTTTTAAAAAGTTCAAGAGACACAGCATAAGATAAACTCAAAAAGAGACACATGGATACATATTACAATCAAACTTTCAAAATTCAAGGACAAAGAATATTGAAAGCAGTAAGAGAGAAAAGACATGTAACTTTCAAGAAACTCCAGTAAGACTAGTTAAAATTATGCAATGTATCTTCTCCAAAAATAAAGAATGAAACTCACCATAATGAAATCTTGAAAGTACAAAAAATCTGATATTAAATTATATATGCTTTTTCATGTAATACTCTTAATTTTTATTATTTTCCTCCAATTCATAGAAAAATAAAAAGGAACATTAGAAAATACTTTGAAATAAATAAAAACAAAATCATGACATACCACAACCATGAGATACAAAGAAGGAAGTGTTCAGAAGGAAATTATAGTAGATAAACTATGTTTAAAAAGAATAATAATCTAAAAGAAATTAAGTACTTTGAAATAAATAAAAACAAAATCATGACATACCACAACCATGAGATACAAAGAAGGAAGTGTTCAGAAGGAAATTATAGTAGATAAACTATGTTTAAAAAGAATAATAATCTAAAAGAAATTAAGCTAACGTTATACATTGCAGGACTAGAAAGTTAAAAGCAAGTAAACACTAAAATTAATAGAAGGTATGGAATAATAAAAATTTGAATGGGGAAAATAAAAGTAGAGAATTGGAAAATCATAGAATAGGTTATAACAAAATTTTATTTTTAAAAATAAATTGATAAATCTTTAACTAGATTTAGAATAAAAATGAGAAACTGTAAATGATTATAATCAGAAATTAAGGTATATTCTAGTTATCAGTCTGATATATAAGTGGCAAAGATTTTCTCCATTCGTGAAAAATCTCTTCAATTTTGAAGCCAGTTCTTTTATTATGCAGAAGTTTTAATTTCATGTAGTCCCATTTGTCAATCCTTTCTCTTAGTTGCTGAGCCATTCAAGTTCCAAAGTCATTGACTATGCCTATAACTTCCAGTCTACTCCCTGCTCTTTCCTGCACTAGCTTCAAAGTTTCAGGTCTGATATTAAGGTCCTTAATCCACTTTGAGCTGATGCTTGCACAAGGTGAAAGTCATGGTTTTCTGCATGCAGATAACCACTTTTCCCTGAAACATTTGTTGAAGAGGTTGTCTTTTCTCCATCCTATGTTTTTGGCAAGTTTGACAAAAATTAAGTGGGTGTAGCTGCATGGATTCATGTGCAGTTTTCCTATTCTGTTCTACTGGGCTTCATATCTGTTTTTGTGCCAGTACCATGCTGTTTTTATTGCTATGGCTCTGGTATTGTGATACCTCCAGCATTGTTCTTTTTGCTCAGTATTACTTTGGCTATTTGCAGTCCTTTGTGCTTCCAAATGAACTTTATGGTTCATTTTTCAACCTCTGTGATGACTGTTACTAAGATTTTGGTGGAAATTGTGTTGAACATGTAGATTGCTTTAGACAATGTAGCCATTTCACTAGGTCCATTCTACCGAATCATGAGGATGGGAAGTCTGTAATCTTCTATTTCCTTCTTCGATGGTTTGTAGTTTTCCTTGTAGAAGTCATTCACATCCTCTGTTATGTTTATTCCTAGGTGTTTGATTTTTTGAGGCTATTGTAAATGGAATTGTTTTCCTACACTCTTCCTCAATCTGTTCATTGTTGATGTATAAAAAGGCTACTGATTTTTGCAAGTTGACTTTTTATACAGGGAGCTAAAAAACTAAATGCTCTCCAAATTAATGACCCAATGAGGAAATGGATAAATGAACTAAATAGACCCTTTTCTAAGGAAATAGTCCAAATGGTTAAAAACACAAGAAAAAAGGCTCACCATCTCTGGCCATAAAGGAAATACCAATCATAACCACTTTAATATTCTACCTCACTCCTGCTAGAATTGCTACCATCAAGAACACAAACAATAACAAATGATGGTGATAATGTGGGGAAAAAGGAATCCTCATACACTGCTGATGTGGATGCAAATTAGTAAAACCAGTATAGAAAACAATATGGAGGAACCTCAAAGAACTAAAAATAGAACTGCCATATGATCCGTCAATACCACTCTTCAGGATGTACCTGAAGGTTATCCTTGAGGTTACATCAAAGTCACTTGTGTGCTCCTGTTTATTGCAGCCCTATTCATAACTAAGCTATGGAAATCGGCAAGATGCCCCATTGCTGATGAATGAATTAAGAAAATGTGGTATTTATACACAATGGAATTTTACTCAGCCACAAAAAAAAGGAAATTTTGTCTTTGGCAGATATAAATAGATGGAACTG